GGCTATCAATGGAGTCGAAGAACCCGACCATGACTGGAGGCTTTTGGGTGTAGGTGGCCAGATTCTCGGCGGTGTCGACGATGACTGTCAGGCCAGTCATGATCTTCTTCATGTACGAAACGATGCCTGTGCATTGAAGATCAAGCGCATGGCGATGAGTGTTCGCGCGGACACGAGACGGCGGACGATGGTGGTGTTGGTGTTGGTGTTGGTGTTGGTGTCGGGTGAGGGGTACCGGCAGCTCTCCGCGGTCCCATGTACTCATGCATGCGCTGGTGGAAGAAGAGCTTGACGGTGGGGAAGCCCTGGACTTGAACGGAATCGCAGAGCTCCTTGTTCCTCGTACAATCGACCTTGGCGAACACCAGTGGGTTGTTCTCCCTGGCCAGCTGAGTTGCAGCTTTCTCGTACCTGCGATGTGACACACACCACACACCACACACCACACCACACACCACACACACACACACACACACACACAAGCACAAGCACAAGCAAGTGAGAACTTGTGTTAAAGGTGAGTGGCAGCTAGCGGAAAGAAGAAGGGGAGCAGTAGACGCACTCGGGAGCGAGATCTTTGCAGTGACCGCACCAGGGCGCGTAGAACTCGATAATGGCGTACGCGAACATGTTGACGAACTCCTCGAATTCTTGGCTGGTAGCGCGCGTGAGGTCGACCACATACGTACTCGGCTCCTCCTCCTCCTCCTTCTCCTGCTCCAGCTGACCCTTTTCCTGCTGCTGCTGCTGCTGCTCTTGCTGCGGCTCCTCCTGCTGCCGCTCCTGCTCCTGCGGCTCCTCCTGCGGCTGACCCTGTTGCTGCTCCTGTCCGCAGACGAAGCTCACCAGGCACAGAGCCACAAACAGCAGCCACACAAACTTCGCCGTCCTCATGGCTAATCCTGTTGGCGGTTTGTGGGTGAAGTAGAAGAAGGTCAGAAAAAAGGTGAAGAAGAGCAAAGCTGCTCCCGATAATAAGTAAAAAAAAGAGAGAGGGAGGGGGAGGGGGCTGTGCCTTGGTTATTGTGGCAGGGAGGTGGTGGAGCGGAGGGGCACCGGTCGTTAGGGGGAAAAGAGAAAAGTGAGGCCACGCTGCTCCGCGCAACGTGAGGACGTCACTGCCCCCTCCCCCCTTTACCAAAATAGGGTTGCAATCTGAACGGACGCAAAAAGCGCCCGAAAGAAAGGAGTGTTTGAACCGCGCACTTCGTTGGCCAATGAGGCGAGGACGAAACACTCAGTCGCTGTCTTCCTCTTCATCATCTTCCTCCTCCTCCTCCTCCTCCTCCTCCTCTTCACTCTGATCTTCCTCGTCTTCGTCTTCGTCTTCTTCGCTCTGGTCTTCTTCCTCCTCGGACTCCTCCTGCTGGCTGCTGCTGCCTTCCTCCTCGCCGATACTGAGTTGGCTGTCCCAGTGCACCTTCTGCTCCTCCTCCTCCTCGCGGTCGTTCTCCTTGTGCGCCACCTCCATCGCATCCACCTCCTTTGTCACCTCCTTGCCCTTCCGCTTGCGCTTCTCCCCCGCCTTCTTGGCCGGCGACTTCGCCTGCGTTGGTACCACGTCAGCGCTACGAAAAAGCTCTGAACAGATCGAAGGGAGGGGGAAGGCACCTCGGGCTGGGCCTTCTTGGCCTCCTTGAGCTTGCGCTCCTCGTCCCTGGAGGGCCACTGGTCGAGCAGGTATCGCCTCAGCAGTTCGGCGGCTGCGACCGGCCGCGAGTAGTCGTACACGTCGACGCTGTTCTCCATGTCCAACAGCACCAGCTGGCTGCCCTTCTCGGTCATGGCCCGCAGCTCGTCGACCTCCTTGGCCAGGCACTCCTCGAGAACTGCACACAACGGCGGCGTTAGAACTGAGCGAGACCACAGCGGGGATTGTGTGTGTGTGTGTCGGCACCATATTTATAGGCGGGGAACAGGATTTGCCAGCGAGCGGCCTCGTCGTCGAGCAGCGGGTCGCCGTCCGAGTGGCCCTTCAGGCCCTGGCTCCATCCGAGCAGCTTGCCGTTCTTCTTCTCCGTTCGGTGCAGGCTCTTCATGGCTTGATTGGCGAGCGTGCTGCGGTCGACGCCGGCCTTTTCGAACACCTTCAGGCCCTCGACGATGCCCTCGACGCTCATGCCAAACTGGGGAAGGAGGAACCGACCAACGTTAGTACCTTCCAAGTACTGAGATCGAGAGAGATATTGTTGGAGAGGGAGACGTACCGCTTCCTTGCGGCCAAGCGGGAGAGGGATGCCGCCCACAGGGTAGGCGTAGGCGAACTTACGGTACGGCGACGTGCTGAGCGGGCCACAATGTGAGCACGGTGTGCGTGTCGTAGGCGGTGCGCGTGTCGTGTCGTGTCGTGTCGTGTGCGTGGGCTGAATGGACGAGGGAGAAACCTTTTGAGCGTGATGTCGACCAATACCACGGTGGGGAGTCTCGTGAGGTTGAGGAAGGCGTCGGCGCTGAGACGCTTGGAGCGGACCACGACCGCGCCCTCCTCTTTGCCGATGACCCCGCTAGCGAGATGGGTAGACGCCCGGCGCGAGGCGCCGCCGCCGGAAGTAGTCTTGGTTTTCGCCTCAGCCGCAGCCGTTTCCTGTGTTGACGAATGGACGGACATGAGGACATCACGCAACGCAGTAAAGCGAGGGCAACATCAAACGGCGGTCGTGCAACGTACGGCCATCGCGCGGTATTCGGCCCGCTGTTCGTCGGAGAGCGCGTCCCACTGGGCGTGGAGCTCCTTCAATCGGTCCGCGGCGGCCATGTCTGGCTTCTCCTCCCGGAAGATCTTGGTCTGCTCGTTCCTGAACACGGTCCAGCCCGGCGCGGCCCTTCTGGTCGGTCGCGGCGTCGATGGCTGGCTCGCCCGCTCCTGCGACACGCACGCACGCACGCACCACCAGGCGTGTGAGCAGAGCTCTCCGCGCCCACTGTGTGCGCAGGCGAGGTGTGTTACCTCGGCCAGCGCGGCATACTTCTTGCGGTCGGCCTCGCTCAGGTTCTTCCAGTCCTCGCCGATTGACTTGGCGAGCTCCTGCCGCGTGAGTCCGCCGGCGGACTTGGACCGCTCGGCCATCTGCTCGCCGAAGTAGACCGCCCACGCCGACACCCGCTTGGTGCGGGCGGGCTCCTCAGTCTCCGACGCAGCCCCGTTCTTCGCCTCCTGTTGACGGCGTGGGTTAGGTTAGGGCATGGCACACACACCCACACGACACACACGACACACACACACAAGTGAGGTGCACACCTCGGCGGCCTTCTGGACGTAGGGCGCCTTGTCTTCGTCGCTCATCTCCCTCCACTTGGTGGCAGCGAGGCTGATGAGCTCGCCGAAGGGCAGGTCGGGGTTCTCATCGCGCACGCTCGCGTAGTGCTCCTTGATGAAGAGGTGGTAAGCCGAAGTCGGACGCTTCCTCCCCGATACCGGCGTTCCGGGTGCGCTGTTGCGGGTGACCTTCCTCACAATCCCATCTTTCATCTCCCGAAGGCGATTAAATTCAGCCAGGAAGCGATCGGACAGATCGTCATCTACTGCCACCGCTCGCCGTCTGCGCTTCGGGCCTTCAGGTTCGGCGACGAAGAGCAGATCCTTTAGGGAGTACATGAGGGCCGATAGGCTGCTCAGGTAGTTGTGCTCGATGAAGTACAGCAGCTCGTCGCATTCATCCGGGCGAAGTGCACTGGCCTCCTCTTCTTCGGCCTTTACCTTCCTCTTCGGCGCTGGCAAATCATCCGATTTGACGATGCTCGCCTGCGTCACTCGTGCTCTCTTCAGAGGCTTCATTTCGAGCACATCCTGTGAGAAGGACTCGGTGGCCTCATTCGTCACATCCTCGACTCGCTCGACAGAACGCTTGCGCTTGCCCCCCTTGGTGCGAGTGCTGAGCCACTCCGTCATCTCGCTCCAATTTGTCAATGTTTGCGCCAAGATATCGCGTCCGTTATTTTCTTCAAGTTTAAGAAGGCGGCCGGCGTCATTAGCACAACACAAGCACCATCATCATCAACCTATTGCGCATTCCTTCTTCTCGGCCTTGATGAACGGAATGGGGTCGTGGTCACATTGTCGGTGCTTGTATCTGTGTTGCACACACACATACGTATCAGTAAAGGGTGCCAAAGCGGGGAGCGGGCGGGTTGCGTGTACCGTGAGAGTTCGAGCTTGAGCAATCGCTCCATTTTGTACTTGAGGTCGCCCACCTTTTCCATCCACCAGCCTTCCTTCATCCCTTCTTCCTCGGCCTTTCGCAGCGGATCGAAGTCGATCTCGCCTGGTGGTGTTATGATCTCCTTTCCGTCCTCTCCCATTGCCACCAGTTCGTCCATCTCCCTGTGGGCACACATGGTGGTGAGAAGATTGCACGACCCTTTGTAGCTGGCCTCTCGGCCATCAGAGAGGAGCAACGTACTCATTATCAATATCGTTGGCGTCGCAATTCGGAAAGTAGCTGATCACGTGAATATGCGCATGATTATAGTCTCAGTAACCTCATTGGACTTCAACATGAACACCAACACCAACACAACAGTAAGTGCGTACCGGTTGCTGGGCTGGCCAACAGTGTAAAACACTCGCCTCACACCATATCTGTACATCCATTCCACACACACCGGGCACGGTCTACCAATTGTTGGACGCGGATGCGCCACATTAGCCAGGTGAATACAGCACGACACGACACACGGCACGCACGACAGATGGAGACACGGCACGCACCTCGAGTTGCGTTTCCATATCGAGTCGAGAGGTTCGAGTGCTCGGCCGCCTAATCGCACAACGACGAGGTCGCTGCCCCGCGCCAGCTCCTTCCGCTCCTCGTTCTTACCACTCTCCAGCCCGAGCAGCGCTGCCATCTCTGCGTGCGTTGACATGCCTGCGCGCGCGGCGTTGGATGCACGTACGCAAAGGAGTGTGTTTGAGCGGGAGGCGTTGAGTACTGTGTGGTGTCCGTCGGTAGTGATTGAAGCCTTTGGAGATGATTCGTCCCCCTCGCACAATGATGGCCCCGTGGCGATACCTGGCGTTCGCGGTTAATGCAAAATCTCTGGCCATCGCATCGATGTCCAATTTCTTGGAATTGCCGGAATGCGTTGCAGATTTCAAGATGGGGAGGTGACGTACTTCATCTCGCTGCTCGTTGCCTCCTTGGCAGCAAGGTAGAAGAATCGCTTGATTCGTCCGCTGACTTCGCTGCTCATCTTGGCCAGATGCTCGCCTGTTTTGATTCCGATCAAAAAACAAGAGAAAATAAAGTTGAATGTCGAATTTCCTTTTCGCTGGTGATGGAAAAGTTCCATTTCCTTCTGGCCTGCACCGCAAGGGAAAGCACGACCTCCCGCATCAGCAGCACAAGCTGTAAGTGCCGTGAAGATGGAAGACGGCAGTGGTCGCAGGACGGCGGCTAGACGCCTTGCTGCGGTCTGCCGCCACCAGCAGGTTGATCCGGTTCAGCCCGCCGGTTCTTTGATCTCCTTCTGCGCCAGCTCTAGCACCCAGGAGGTGAACCTTCCTCCTCCACGCCAGCCCGGTGGTAGTATTTTAAATGCTTATACGATGATATATTAACATAGACAGTATTTTATAATTTTTTTTTCACTTACCCTTGGCGTGGGCAGGGAGGTGAGGAGGCGGTGGTGAGAATAGGAGATGTAGGTGTGCGGCTGTTGCCCTCCGCGCGACCCGAGCTCATCCCGTGGGGCGTGGCGCCGGCTGGCTCGCCGATCGCCCACCAGTCTCCGGAAGTGCTCGGTGCCTACATTCTCCTCTTCTTTGCGCTGATGACCCCATCACAGCTGACATTCTCATACTCACGACGACCGGTCTTCTTCTGTGCCGTGCAGCCCACTTGAGGTGGATGATGCAAAAGGACAAGCTGGGACAAGACATTTTTCTCATCGGGTGCGCAGCGTCGTGGCATCAGCTGCCTTCTTAAGCAACTGCTTGCTTTCGTCTTGTTCGTACTTACACTGCTTTCCTATTGTCTAGGCCGCCTGGACCCTCACGCCGGTGGCTGGCGTTTCGTTACTGTGAAGGTGGCTATGTGTACAGAGATAGTTGAGCTGTAGTGTGCTGACCCGTCCGTTGTCTGAGCTAATCATGCATCATCGCACTGCAGTCACACGCCGAGAGGCAGAGTATGTGGCGCTGTCGGCAGACACGACCGAAGGGGACCTCAAACAGCGACGCGAGATCATCAACGGAAGCGTTCAACATTTGGATCAGCCGCCGGTGATCGCCGCCACCCAGGGCAGAATTCTGATTCTTGAAGGTGCGTGGCTCTTCCCTTCCGAATGCAAGTTACTGCCTCTCACATTAACGTACTGGGGCTTCTGACAGGTCTGGAGAAGTGTGAGCGCAATGTGCTTCCCGTCCTCAACAACTTGCTGGAGGTGAGTACTTGATATTTTTTAATCATGAGTGGTGCCAGGACATGCTCCTTACCCTTCACTCAGAACAGGGAGATGTCTCTCGAAGACGGCAGGATGCTCATCAGTGCAGATCGTTACGACAAGCTCAAGAAAACGCATTCCAAGTACTACTTGTCCCATTGACGCAAGACCGGCACGCGTGAACCAAGAGCAGACAAACCACTAACGCAAGCGTTGCCCATAACAGGGAGGACTTCAGACGACTCGGGCTGGTCAAAGTGCATCCCAACTTCCGTGTCATCGCTTTGGGACTGCCGGTACTGTATTCTGTCCAGTAGCCGTGGTAAAAGGAGCCTCTCCACGTGCTCAACTTGGAATTGATTCGGGTGTTGTGACAGGTACCGAAATACCCTGGCAGCGCCTTAGACCCGCCGCTACGCAGCCGGTTCCAGGCTCGCGAGATCTCCGGCTATTCAATTGGCGTGCAGTACGCTGCCCTGCGCAGCTTTGTGCCGGATATGACCACCAATCTACTCCGCCGCCTTCTCTCGGCCGTCGAGGCACTGCGTGCGCTGGAAAACTCTGGTATCACCACCTCTCTCGCTCGCTTAAGTGGTAGTTCGCTCGAGTCTGCTGACCGCAGCTCGGCGCTGGCGTGCAGATGGAGTCATGGGCATACCACACATGGGCGAAAGCGGAGTGATCTCGATAGCGACGCTGCTGTCGCACTTCCCAAACATTGACCTGGGCAAGTGTCTTCCCCGCGTGTACCCCTACCGCCTGCTCATGGTACTACTCCATTGCCTGCCAAAGAAAAGCGCGACTTTGCTCTGCGTGTGCCTCATTCGCTCACGACTCGACCTGCAGGAAAAAGAGGACCAGGAGACGATCGAAGTCGCGCTGCAGAGATTTGGGCTGGTCCAGCAGACCATTCAACCGCCAACCGACAAGAAGCAAGGTGAGCTTGACAGTGATGACTTTCTTTTGCTGCGCTGCTTAGTTCTTAGTTAAGCTTCCATCGTACGCGTTTAGAACCTCAAGTTACGCCTTCAGCACCTATCGACTACGACGAAAGCTACGAACTTGTGAGCGTGCGAAGTGTCGGACCCGCGGATGCCCTAGCGACGGCTCAACTCAAGTTCAGACACAAGCTCACTGGTACCCCTCCCACAGCCGAAAGCGGGCGGCGATTGCCGCTGCGGAGTCATCTGACCCTCCTCTCCGCCTCTCTGCAGGACAAACCGTCGATGTAGCGGCGCCGGTGGGCAAGCACGTCGGCCTCGAGCAGCGTCACAGGGGCTTTGTCTTGACCCCCTACAACGACTACCTGGTCACGAGCATGATCCAAGACCACGCCATCAACAGGGACATCTGCATCGTGGGCGAGAAGGGCATGGGCAAGACCGCGCTCGTCAAAGAATTCGCTGGTAAGTGATCACTTATGCACACCGAACGACTGCGCTCTCGGCCTTGGTTCACGATAACTGGTCCTTCCAGAGCGCCTGGGCTACGCGTCCAACATACAGATCGTGAACTGTTACAAGGACATGACCTCGCGGGACCTGCTGCAGCGGCGCATCACCAAGCCCAACGGTACGCGTGGCTGTGTGCTGGCGCACAAAAGCCCATCAGCTCATGACTCTCTTTTACACCAACGAACACAGGTGATACGGACTGGGCTCACTCGCCACTGGTGCGGGCAGCGATGGATGGGCTCATCTGCCTTCTCGACGGTTTGCAACCTCCCACGCACCACCACCCAATGTAATCGAACGAAGTTTTGTAGCGCAGAGTGTAACTCATCGTGGCTTCTTCAGGGGCGCATCGACTTCCCGCCACGACGCTGAGCATGCTGCAGCGTCTGGTATCCGACAGGTGAGCCAACAGCGAAACCACAAAAGAAGCAGTACACGTCGGTGCAACTCACTTACCTGTTGTGGCTCCCAGGGAGATCACCTTGTTCGATGGGACGCGTCTCGTGCGTGTGGATCGCTACCAGCGTATGGTGAAAGTCTTGCTGGAGCAAAAGACCAAGGTAAGCCCTGGCTGCATGCATCCGTTACGCACGCTGCCATACATTGAGGCCTGACTATGCCCTGACTCAGAAGAAACAGAGCTCTGGCGCTGAGAATCACGAAGGTGATGACGAAGCTGATGACGAAGAGAGCGAAATGGAGCGACGTATGGGGGTTGACCGATTGAGGGAGACCGAGGAGGCCACCACTGGCGATGCGTGGGACCAAGCCAAGGTTGAGCGCGAGCTCAAACGGCGCAAGATCGTTCCCATCTCCCCTGCGTTCCGCATTGTCGTTCTCGCCAATCCGCCTACGCTCAAGCAGGGTACGGTCACCAGCTGGGCCATGGCGCAACACAGACACATCGCTGCTAATCACTATGTGCTTCGCTCATCAGGCGTCAACTGGTTGACGTCGGAAGTGATCACCCTGTTTCACTTTCATCATCTGGCCTTAAACGACGCGGCGTTCTTTGACCAGAAGGCCGACATATTGCGCACCCTCTTCCGCGACCACCCGAGAGGGCTCGAGGTGCTGGAGAAGACTTTGCGGTACCTGTTCTGTCGACCTGCGCCCATTTTTGCCAGCGCGCTAACCTGACCAATCCGTTCTCAGCTTCGATATTGCGCTCCACGGCAACAAGATAGGCGGCGTACCCAATTGTTTGTCCCTGCGGCAGCTCATCCGCACCGTCCGCTTGTCGAGGTGCGTCAGCTTAGCTGCTGGGATTGGATGGGTCTTGTTCCTCATTGATTCAAGTTTTATGTGGCTGACGTCGGATGCGCTCGCTCGGCGGATACCACAGCCACAACCCAGAACAGCTGTACACCAACATCGAGAGCGTTCTGCTGCTCCATTTTTTACCGCCGGACACAAGGGAAGCCGTTCACCAGCTGCTGCAGGAGGCTGACATCAAACCACCCCCGCCGCCTACGATTAGTGAAGGTACTCTCAGCCCACCACGCATTCTTTGATTGGACATGCGGTTAACAGAGCAGGGGACTGCTGGCTAACGTTCATAACGACTTGTCAGATGCGCTCAAGGTGGAGCTCATTAAGTCGGACGGCAGGGAGGTGGTCAGAATCGGCGACGTCACCGCGGAGGTGGAGCAGCCCGAGGTACGTGTGACCCATGCTGTCTTGTACTCTACTATTGCGTGGTAAGCTAACAAGCCGCTGGCGGTCTAGCAACCTGCTTTGGTGCCGCACGTACTCTTCTATGACGTTCCCAAACATAGTACGTTCACATATTGCGCGCGTGTATGACTGCGCATGTGTTGTCAAATGCTGATCTGCGTGGCGGTACACATAGTTGGGCTGTTGAGGGACCTAATACGCCACTATCAAATCGGCGAACACTTGTTGCTCATCGGCAACCAAGGAGTCGGCAAGAATAAGGTACACCTCGTCATGTAGTGCAATGTTCGCCTCGCCTTTGGCTGACGAAATCGTGCCAAATCCAGCTTGCCGATCGTATGCTCGAGCTCTTGGGCAAGGAGCGGGAATACATGCAGCTGCACAGGTTTGTGGCAAACAAGTCGACATACGCGCCGCGGGTGGTTAATTCTCACAAACATTCTTGGTTTGGATGGCGTGTGGCAATAGGGACACCACGGTGCAGTCGCTCACCTCTGCGCCATCGTTGGCGGACGGTCGCATCGTATGGATGGACTCTCCGCTCGTGCGCGCCGTCGTTCACGGCCGCGTTCTCGTCCTGGTACTCATTTCTCGTTTTGACAATTGCGAAGGTCGGCCCGACTGGTGATGAATCATTGTTTCACTGTTTCATTGGGACAGGATGAAGCGGACAAGGCGCCCCTTGAGGTGGTTTGCGTGTTGAAAGGGCTCATTGAGGACCGTTACATGCTGCTCGCCGATGGCCGGAGGTAATCCCCTAGAGCTCTGATCAAAGCTGCGGATTCCACCTCTTTTACCAATTAACATCCGCCCCAATGCAGAATCATGGGCGAGAAGGCTACGGCCATGGAAGACGACGTGGTGTTGGTTCACCCCAAGTTCCGCGTCATCGCCTTGGCCAACAGACCTGGTTATCCCTTCTTGGGCAATGACTTCTACCGCGAGATCGGAGACTGTTTCTCCTGGTATGGCCACAGTATCGCGGCTGCGCCACGCACAATCGTGATCGTGGAGTGCCTCACTTTACATAACGTTTTGGTAACATCCCACAGCCACGCGATCGACAACCCGGACACCGCGTCGGAGCTGGCGCTGTTGCAGTCCTACGGTCCCGATGTCAACTCAGGTGCATCTCCCACCCGTGACACCGGGCAGCACACTAGGCTCACTCATTTTTTCAAATTCCAGATATTTTGCAGCGCCTGACTCGTCTCTTCAACGACCTGCGCCAGTCTGTTGACGAGGTGCGCCATCGCCAGCACTACGGCCGCTCGGTTCGATGTTGTGGCTTACACGGCTCTTTGTTTTGGAAACATCGCGTGCTCGTGTCACGCAGGGCCAACTGTCGTATCCCTACTCGACCCGCGAGTTGGTGAATCTCATTCGGCATCTGCAGCACTACCCCAAGGACTCCCTCCTGCAGATCCTCGAGAACGTGTTCTCGTTCGACATCTTCAACCCACAGCTGCGCGAGCACCTGGCCCAAACGTTTCACAGGTACCAGACCCCATATCCTCCCACGGATTGTGTGTGTGTGTTTAACAACAACCTGGTACGTTGCTATGCAACTTTACTTCTTCATGTTAGGCACGGCATTCCGTTGGGCATCATGGACAAGTCATTGTTCAAGATCAACGTGGGCGGGATCACGCCGCTGCCCCCGTCCGTGCCCCACGAGCAGTGGACGGTCCTGGGCAACGGCAAAGCACACTACCTCGAAGTGGAGGCCACCAAGCTCCCCTTGAAGGTCTCCAAGGGGTGGTCGTGGCCTCCGCCGCACATGCTCGAGTTGCGAGGAAGGACCGAGGCCAGGGTTCACTCGTTCACCGAAGCTAAGTACTCGTGGAGCATCGTCACGCCGGGTACGTACCAACGCGCCGAGAGGGACCCAGCCGCGCACACTGCTGACCTGTTCTGGGGGTCTTGCGCAGGCATGCCCATCGCCATGGTGAGCGGCAAGAAGGGCGAGCTGCACGTGCTGGTCGACCACCCGTTCGGGATCCACTCCTACAACGGCAACCACTCAGCCTATTCCATCACTCCGCTGGGTGCGTTCGCTTGGCATTGGTCAGACCGCTCTTCTTGTTGTCGCTAGCGCTGAATTCGCTGCTATGGATGGGTGCAGGTGACAACATGCCGTTCTTCTCGCCCTCTTCGACCAACCCCAAGCTCGCCTACCTGCCTCTGACCGACAGATTGGTGGTACGCGCGTCAGCTTGCACCGGCCCCCTTGACTTGCTGCGTGTGTACACGGCAGTCAGGTTTTCGCTGACACGCGCATTTCTGATGGAACACGCGGGCGTGCAGGTGTTCTTGCCCTCCCACAACGTCTTGCTGCTGGTCGACACCAATCGCAGAGAGACAGTACCCATCAACATCCCCGTCCCTGGCAGCCAACAGTTCTCCCTCTTCGGTACATAACACCCACACGCACCACCGCACACGCACCACCGCACACGCACACGCACACGCCCACGACAACCGGCGACATGCAAGGCTGATGTCCTTCTATCGACGCACAGGGAACAAGCTCTATCTGTCCTCGCAGCGCCCGCAGCGCCCTGCGGTCCTGACGATGAGCGATGCGCTCGTGCTTGCCGCCGGAGTCGACGATGGCCCCGACGCCACCGCCGGCCGCGAGGTGCTGGTCCTCCACCAGAAAGAGGGCCGCCTGCTCCTCTTCGTGGACCTGGGCGACATGAGCGTGCACCGGTACTTTATGCCGCATCACTTCAAGCTCAACCGCGTCTTCCTGCCGAGCCGCGACGTCGTCATCGTCGAGGGCGCCGGCGGCCAGCGAGATCACCTCTTCATCGGCCGCTGGCCACTCGCCGCCTCGTCGGCGGGCGCTGCCGCCGCCCAGCAGAGATGGGCGCCGCTCCTGCGCTCGCCCCTTGCCGCCACCGCGGCGACGCTGCACAGGCCCGCGGCCGCGCCGAGCTTCCCCGCGGCACCGTCGACATTCCCGACCCAGTTCGATTTCATGTCGACCGAGGCCCAGCCCAACTCGTGCATGACATTCCTATCGTCGGCCGATCCGCACCGCCCGATGGCGGCCTACGCCGACTTTGTCGACACGTCAGCGTCACCGCTGCTGCTGGCCCGTGGCGACATCGGCGGAGGCGCGACGCTCGCCGTTCACTCCTTCCCTCGACCCAGCGCCACAGCTTTCGTCGGCGACGAGACAGCCGCGACCACGACAGTGACCGTCAACGAGCGCGCCCTCTACCTGCGCCGCTCGCGTCAACTGCTCTCCCTCAGCCGCAGGCGCTCGCTCAAAGGTTAGTAGTAACTCCGGCCTGTGCTGAATCGACGGGGCCATTCACTGCGTAACTGAGCACGACACACGACATACAGGCGCGGACACGGGTGAGCCGGACGACGGAGTGCTGGAGGTGCTCAATCTGGAAACGGCTAGCGTGCGTAGCATTCCGCTGTCGCACGTGCATCTCCTGGGCCTCGACCCCAAGCAAAAGGACGACCTCCGGCTGAAGAAGCGCCTCTCGCGACCCGACCACCCCATGGCCCGCGTATATACAACACCCCATGTGTGTGTGTGCGTGTGTGCGACTGTGAACTGAACTGCTGCCACATGGCCGTGCAGTTTCGTGGTTCGATGAACGAGGTGCTGAGTCTGTGCGAGCTGACCAACGGGGAGGTGGCCCTCCTTTGGGAGGACGGCACCGTCGCCGTGCTCGAAGTCGACCCGCCGGCCATCGAAGACAGCCTCCAGCGGTACCTCTTTCCTCCTTTTCTCTTCCCTCTTTCATAGGCGTGTGTTTGCGGTGGCGCGTGTGCGTCATGACGCTCACGACGCTCCGTGCCGCGGTGCGCAGATGGAAGTCGATCGTGGGGCTGTCGCAGTCAGCGGTGAACGAGGACGGCTCGTCGTCGCTCGAGATCGAGTACGAGCACAACGGGAAGGAGGCCGAGGGACCCAAGCACGGCAAGATCGACCCCGAGAACACGCCCCACGTCGGCGGCAACACCTGGGCCGGCGGCTCCGGCGGACGCGATACAGCCGGGCTCGGCGGCAAAGGCGGTACCTACCGACACGACACGACACGACACGACACGACACGACACGACACGACACGACACGACACGACACGACACGACGCGACACGACGCAATTCAGTCTCGCTGGTGACTCATCACGGTGAGGGCTTGGGACAGGCGCGTACCGGTCGGACAGCGGCCACGAGGTGCACCAGCTCACCGAGGCCGAGAAGGAATCGGTCTCCGCCGAGGTCAAGGCGGCCGCCAAGGAAATGGCCAAGGTTAGGCAATTTTCTGTGTTGGAGGCGCAACACTGTGCGGATCGATCACTCACCACGTTTTTCCTTGTGCGCGTCCTGGTGGTGGTTGGTGGTGGCGGTGGCGGTGGTGAACTACTTACAGAAAGCGCTCGAGAAGAAGCTGAAGGAGATCGACATGACCGAAGGCGACCTGCAGCTCTACTCCAACTACCTGCAAGCTGTCTCTCAGCAGGTACCTCGCGTTTTTCACCGTGTGCGTGTGCGGTGCGTGTGTGCGGTTCACCATTCCTCACTTTTTTCTTTTTGTTTGCAGGTGAGCCAGCTGCGCGTGATCCTCGCGGCGGTGGATGCCAAGGCCAAGGAGCGCCAGTGGCTCAAGCTCAAGACCTCGGGCGACCTCGACGACATGTACGCCTTCCGATCCCACACACCGACCTCGCCCACTACACCGCCCACCTGATGTAGCACTGGCTGACTGCGGCCTGGCCCGTTTCCATTCATGGAATGGACCTGACTAGGCGGCTGGTGGAGGGGATCACGGGCGAGAAGACCATCTACAAGCACCGAGGCGAGCACGACCCGACCCCCGGCGGCCCGCAGGAGAAGCCCAAGCGCCTGGTCTTTGCCTTCGATGTCTCGGCTTCCATGTACCGCTTCAACCAAGCTGACCGGTACGAGCACACGACACACGCACACGCACACGCACACGACACGCACACGCACACGAAAAAGAAATCTGAGTATTGTGGAAATAGACGGCTTGAGAGGATGCTGGAGACGGTGGTGATGATCATGGAATCCTTCAAGGGCTTCGAGCACAAGTACTCCTACGCCATTGTCGGACACGCCGGTACGCACACGCACGAAAACCACCGCACGCGCACACGCGCACACCGCACAACGAAGTACAGGCGAAGAGGAGTGAATGGAGAGCTCACCAGGTGGGCGGTACTTTTGTGCAGGTGACGGGCCGGAGGTTCCATTCGTGGAGTTCGGTAAGCCGCCAAAAAACGAGAACGAGGCGCTCAAGGTGCTGCGCCGCATGCACGCCCACACCGAATACTGCCCCAGCGGAGACTCGACCGTCGAGGTACCCCAACTTAACACACACACACACACACCACACACACCACGCACACACACACCACACACCACACACCACACACACACACAGAGAGAGAGAGAGAGACCTCTCCACGATTGGTTGCATGCCGACTAATATCACTTGGGGCGGTGCTACACGCAGGCCCTTGAGGTGGCCATCGACCGGGTGCTCGCCGAGGAGGGCGATGACTACTTCGTGTTCCTCCTCTCCGACGCCAACCTGGGCCGGTACCCAACAAGAGTCGACTTCGCGTGTGCGTGCGTGCGCGTGCGGTTTGCTCACTTCGGCGGGGGGCGGGCAGGTACGGGATACCGCCGAAGGAGATCGGAAAGCTGATTACGGGCGCGACGGAGAAGAAGGTGAACAGCTACGTCATCTTCATCGCCTCCTTCCACGACGAGGCCGACCGGTGGCGCCGCGACCTCCCCGTGGGGCGCAGCTACCTGTGCCTCGACACCGCCAAGCTGCCCTACATCATGAAGCAGATCTTCACCACCAACCTCATGCCCTGACCTCTACAATCAAACAAATATATATTATTTATATTTATAGAACAAATATGTATTATTATTAGTTTATATAGTGTGGAAGCTGTACAGATATATGATTTAGATATATGAACAGAAAGGGGAGAGATCATTCAAAGGGCACGTTGGCCGAGAAGTCCCAGATCTTGATGGACTTGTCAAGCGAGCCGGAGACGAGGACGTCGTCGGTGAAGTGGAGGGATCGGGCCGAGGCGTTGTGGCCCTTGAGCGTCACCACGCAGGCCCGTGCCGCCAGGTCCCACACCTTGATCGTGAAGTCGTAGCTCCCCGAGCACAGCTTCCCGGCGTCGTACTGCAGACACCGCACCCGCTTCGAATGCTCCCCGATCGTCCACTGCACACACACACACCCGACAAGTGGTGAGTTGAGTGGTGGAACGGATGAATGTGTGGAGCTACGTACGAATGGATAGGCTGTGTTGCGCAGGTCCCACATCTTGATGGTGTTGTCCATCGACCCGCTCACGAGCTTGACGTCATCGAACTGGATGCCCGTCACCCAGCTCTCGTGGCCTTGCAGCTCCCTGTAGGGTGGATGATCAGCACTTTCCCCCGGTGATATCAAGCTCATTTGGCGATGATGATGGTGATGATGATGGTAATCTATACGTGATGGGCTTGTAGGTCTTGGTGTCCCAGAGTTTGATGGCCTTGAAGCTGCCGCTCACGATCATCCTGTCGTTGAACTTGAGGCAACAGATGCACGTGGTGTGGCTCTTGAGCGTCGCCTTGTCCTTTCCCGTCTGCATGTCCCACACTACCCCATGAAGGTGGAATGAATGCGGTAATGAGTCTCTTCGTCACGCCGACCAGCTCAGGAGCTCACGAGTGGTGTACCCTTGACTGTCTTGTCGTACGAGCCCGACACCAGCGTCCCGTCATCCGCGAATTGCAGGGTTCGCACCGCTCTCGTGTGACCTTCGCCGGAGGGGCAGCGAGCGATGAGCGCGACTGCATCGCATTGTTGTGAGTGTGGAGGTGGGGGGGATAGATAGGTACCGATGAACGTGTTGGTGCATCGCGCCTGCTCGACGTTCCACACCTTGATGCTGTGGTCGTCCGACCCGCTCACCTGACAGACGATGGTCAGCATGTGGGGTCCTATGGGTGCAGTGACAGACGCGAGTGCGGTGATGCGAGTGTCGTACCAGGGTGTTGCCGCTGAACTGCAGACAATAGACCCGATGGGAGTGGCCGGTCAGCACCTTGGTGGGTACGTGCTTCTTGGCCTTGCAGAATCCCTGCACGACCCACGCACGTGCGCGTTAGAGTTCTTATTCTCTTCACTTTGCTGTGAATGCAGGTCTTCATTCGTGCCTCGTTGTCGCCGTCGGTCGGCTCGGGCTCCTCATCGAGGTTGGCATTGGTTTCGTCGACGGCTTCGGCATCGCCCACCCACTGCGCCTTCACCAGGTCCCACACCTGCAGCCATGCGCCGTAATCAGGGCCTCCGCGGGCTGGGAGTCGGAGGTGCGTGTATGTACCCTGACTTTGTGGTCGTAGGAGCCCGAGGCGATGGTCAGACCGTCGGTCTGTACGCATGTGATCTCAGCCGGACAGGCGATGGTGGTTGTGCTGCACTGACCGCGCCACCAGTTTCGCTCTACGAGGCTTCGCCACCGGTAGACCCAGCCCCACTGCAGCTGCACACCACACAACACACACACACGCCTGCATCAGATCTGGAGTTTGCTCCGGAAGGGGACCAATCGTTTTGGGCAGACCTTGCGCCGGCTCGACTTGACGCCTTCATCTGGATTGCGCCCGCCTTCGGTCTCCTTGAGGATGGTATCGCCCCAACGCAGCAAACACAAACGCTGCACACATCCACGCGAACCACATCAACGATCATGATCGTCAACAATGATTGTGATCGGTGCCGACGCAAGGGAGGCAAGGTACCCGCCAGAGGTGGTCGTCGAGGGCGAAGCCGCGAAAGGACTTAGACACGAGCGATACACTCGTGAGCAAGTCCTTCGGTTGGATGTAGGACAACGCCTGGCCAGCGAAAGGGAGAGGGAGAGGGACTTGAGCAAAGCGTACAGAGCTGAGTTGATAGGAAGAGGACCCGGGAGTAGGGCCAAGCGTACAATGAGGAGCACTTCGTGGGGCAGAACTGCGAACGCGCCCAGCTGGGAGGGCTCTACAAAGGTTTTACACGCTTTGTTGGGATCCCCAAAGAGAAAGAGGTGCATGTGAGGTGGGGTGGGGTGAACCTTCGTCCATGAGGTCGTGTGCATCGAAGAGCGAGGCTGGAAGGGAAGAAGTCGAGGTGGCCATGGTCTCTCTCATCCCGTGTCAATGCCAGGGCGTGTTGTTCCTGTGAAGTTCTGGCTCCGTCTGTGTGGAATGCTCGTACGTGCTTGTACCGCCGCGGTCTGGTCTGCCGGGCGTGCAAGGAGGTGGAGGCGGCAGCACGAGCGTGATCACAGTTAGACCACGTGACTAGAGAAGGGGGAGGGGAGGAAGTTCTACGTTTTGGGAACTTACACAACTCAAGGAGAGAAGAAGAAAGGAAACGTACCCGTGATCTGGCCGATGGGGGGAAGAAGGAGAAGGCAACGTCGTGATGTAGTTTGGAGGGGGGTCTTCTATCGGAGGGGTTGGTGAGAAAATGGGCAAACGGAAGTAAAGGTGAGGCCTGGTGAGGTGCTGTGCTGTGCTGGAAATTTGAAAAACAAGCGATCCCCACACACCGGCGAGCTTGCTGAGCTCCAGCACCTCTCGCTCGAGGTTCAACTAATCTTTGGGTTGGTAGTCGCGAGGTCGTGATGGGCACGAGCGTGGTCCCTTCCCTCGTTGCCACGCCAGGCCGGGCATCACCCGGCACCCTGCCGGCTGCTCCGCCGAAATTCTGCCCCGATCCACCCACTCCGATCCCCCAGTCCCAGCCGCGGCTTCGAATCTCGTCCAGGGCAATATTCATATTTGTGTCGTGTGTGTCGTGTCGTGCGTCGCACACGGCACAGCTGCCGTTTGTCAGAAAGCCGAGGCGGTGCGTAGCAAGGTTAAATAGGTTGATGGTTAGGGTTATGATGTAGAGGGTAGAGGAGGATTAGGCGCGCTCCTGGACGGGATGTTCGAGGCTCTTGCCGAAGCCGGGGTGCTGAAGGGAGAGGCCGTCCTTGAAGAAGTAGAATCGAGGGGTGGGGGAGGCCTCGTCCGACCGGTAGAAGCCGAAGCCGATGGCGGCCTCGGCGTCCATCGACTCGCCCATGTAGAAGCTGTACTCGTCGAAGTTCTTCAGCATCTTCATCACAAAGGGCTCCGCCGACTTCATGAACGGCGCCACACGCTCTGTGTCACCGCACGCACGCACACACCCCACACACGCCACACACCGCACACAACACACGCCAAAGGAGTCAGCTGGTGGCCAACACGACGGCTGCAAGGGCGGATTGGGCAACGGACCCGGGTTGGTCTTCCTGAGGTATCCCTTGACCCGGTTCATGTAGGCCTTGATGTACTTGATGAAGTCGGACTTAGCGAAGGAGGTCTCCACCAGGCGGTGCGAGTAGACGACGTTGATCACGGTCTCGGCCGCGTCGGCCAGCTGCTCGGCGTCGCCACCGCCGCCGAAGGCGTCACCGCAGCCCACGTCGACGTCGACCGCACCGCCGGCCGACACCAGCTTACCCTCGACCTCGAACACGATGTCGTCGACCACCGTGAAGGGGTAGCAGATGGAGAACATCTCATCTCCGGTGAACACGTCTGTGTTTCGACAAGGATGCGTCAACGAATGATTTTGAACCAATCTCACGAGTTGGGGAAAATTGATAGAATTGATGGAGCCGCCAAATTGGGCGAAGAGGATCGGTCTGAACGATCAAAGGGACACTTCACGAGAGAAGACGAACCCTTATAGATGTAGGTCTTTTGCGACTTCATTGTTGTTGGCGGGGCTGATGGGCAAAGAAAAAAAGAAACCAACAAAAGCCAATGTGAAAAATAAATAAAACAAATAAAAAATAAAACGCAACCGCCAAAGACGGGTCAGTTGAAGATGGGAACGTCACTTTGGAAGTGTTCACTTGTTTATTCTGTACGCGCGGATGTGCAGTGCAGAGTTGTATCGCACTTGTGTGATCGGCTCAAGACCCTGCCAAAGAGACCACACGGCGTTAACGTGTGCAGAGACTAACAATCCACAGGAGCGCGATGTGGGAGAACGGTACCGGTCTGAGCGGTTCGTACTCGTCGATGAGCGTCACAGTAGAGGTGGACGGCGCCAGAGCGAGCGTGCCGTTGCTCTGCTCTACTAGACCACGAGCCAAGTCGCATGCCTTGACATGCACCCATGCACCATCAGCATCGCAATCATGAAGACATGACATGCACGAGGCCGGTACCTTCTCCATTGCTGCACTGAGGGCGTGTATGACCACTTCCGTTTCGCTGTGGGCGAGCAGTGAGCGAAGGTGAGTGGTAGCGGCATTGAGGGCGTGGGGAAGGCGTGAATGGTGGGTGGTACCCTTCGTGCAGGAGCCGGAGGGCCCGCTTTTGCATAGCCACGAAGCTGGAGGACCGCGACACATAGATGTCGTTCTTACGCGTGTGAGGTCGCTGCGGCACCCTTTTCACGAATCGATCTGACAAAACCGCAACTACCACGTCAGCCTGGCTGACACAACATCTCCGAGCGGGGTGCAGAAGTAAAGGGCGTACATAAGTAGGGGTCCGGGGTAGCTTCCTCATCCTCCTCACAATCTTCATCCCCCTCGTCGGGCACGATTTCCTCCGAGGGTGCGGCAACCACGTCCGTCGTCTCCTCCATCTTTTGTGTTTGCGGTGTTGTCACATTTTCTTTTTGTTTTCTTTTTGAATTGTTTGACGATATTCCTGGATAAATCCTGGCCCTGACAACAAACGGCAGAATTGATTTTCATTTGAAAATCAAATACGCCATCGTAGCCCGGTGGTGTGCATTGAGGGATAGGCGACGTCTTGGGGGGCTGGCATGGAGAACGAGTATGTGGTGGTCGGGCAGCATCAGCAGCAAATGGCGATGCTGAGCCAACACGAATACGACTATCTGGTCGTCATCGATTTCGAGGCCACTTGCGATGAAGGCGAACAGCCCAAGGTCACGCGCGAGAACCAAGAAATCATAGAGTTCCCGTGGGTCGTCATCGACCTCGTCAATCAGCAGGTCATCGACAAGCGACAGATCTACGTGCGGCCCGAATGGACCTCTCAACTCACGCCCTTTTGCGTCAAGCTGACCGGCATCACCGATGACAAGCTCAGGGAGGCTCCTCTTCTCCACGAGGCCATGGCTCAGGTGCGTTCCCCCCCCCTCCTTTCTCTTCTTCACTCAGTTTAAGCCCATCAATGCTGCATCAATTCATTCGATTTGCCTGTTAGCATTCGAGCATTCCTGCATACGTGTGTGTGACTCGCTTTCTGATCGTTTCTTGTGTGCCACTGCCGAACAGTTCGATCGCTACGTGGACGACTGCTTCGCGCGACGCGGCAAGACCTTCTGTATCCTCACCGATGGCGACTGGGACCTCAAGATGTGCCTCCTCCAGGAGACGCGCAAGAAGGACATCGCCCGCGCCCCGCACTACATGACCTACTTCGTACCTGGCCCACCCTGCCGCGCACTGCCTCATTCATTGTTTGTTTGATTGATTGCTACATCGCCTGTCGCTCGGCCTCTCACTACCACCCACCACCACCCCCCACCACCCACCAGGACGTGAAAGAGGAGTTCCTCAAGGTGTTCCCGCAGCCGTCCCACTACAAGCCGTCCCTGATGACCATGCTCAGGCGTACGCCACCCGCTCAATCCGGACCGCGGTCGTGGCTGGCTTGTGCTCTCGCACTCACCACCTGCATTTTCGTTTCCTCTCTTTTGTGCGTGATGTGCCCCAAGACTTGAACCTGGTGATGGAGGGGCGCCACCACTCGGGCCTGTACGATTGCGTCAACATCAGGTACGCGTGGACTCCACTCTTCGCCTCAACGTTTTGTGAGAGAAGGGCAAATACGGCCGGCGTCGCTCACAAACTTGCACGCGTGCGCAACACAGCAACATCGTCCTGGAGTTGATTCGTCACGGACACTACTTTGGCCAGCCCCAGGTCATTCCACCGGACTACGATCCCTCCACCGGTACGGCCGCGCTGAACACACGCACACGCACACGCACAGCACGGCGTGTTGTCCTGCTGTAGGAGCTAAGTTGTTTTTGCGGCGAACAGATCCGGCCTTTGCCCGCGATTTCAACCGCACCGGTCCGCCCATCTTCTTGCGGTTGGCCGAAGGTAGCGTGCAACCACCTTGAGGCGCACCACCCACTATCCGAATCACCGGCTGCTTACTGTGTGCGCGTGCGCGTGTGCGCGTGTGTGTGTTTTGGCAGGGAGTGAGGAGGAGACAAAGGTCATCGTAATGCGCGGTTTGCCCTGGAGCGCGACAGACGCGGACGTGGGCATGTTCTTCTCCGGTCTGGACATCGTGCCCGGCGGCATTCACCTCATCCACGACCACACCGGCCGCCCCTCTGGTATCGTGTCCCCCCCACCCACCTCTGATGCGACTCAGTGCCGATGCGACTCAGTGCCAGTGCCTCACCCACCACCCCCATCCACCACCCACCACCCACCACCGCCAAGGCGTGGCCTACGTGGAGTTCAGCTCCGCGGAGGAGGTGAACAACGCGCTGCAGCGGCATAACGGCTTCATCGGCTCCCGCTACATCGAGGTGCGCGTGCTTCCCACTTACACGCTTGCGGAATTCCAAGCGCGCGAGTTTCTGACTGTCCCCTTCCCCTGACCCGCCCGCCCGCCCGCCCGCCCGCCCGCCCTGGCGTAGGTTTACCCGAGCGACGCCAACAGCTTGACGGCCATCCTCGCCTCGCAGGCCGCCAAGAACGCCCACCAATCCGAAGAGATCAGGCCCGGTACATAGGCTGCCGCACTCTATTGGACTGGCCTGATGTGGTCGATCATCGCCGGCCCAGAATTCCTGACATTCTTTTCCCACTGTGAAACACAGGGGACTGGTACTGCATCAACTGCGGCGACCACCAGTTCGCATCGAGGATCGTGTGCCGCAAGTGCTCGACCCCGCGGCCCGCGGAGGACGGCGAGAATGGCGGCTACGGCGACGCCACCAACAACGGCGGCGGCGGCGGTTTGGTGTTGGACGACGGCAGCGGCAGCGGCGACAATGGCGGCGAGGGAGAGGATAACGCCGGCGCCGAGGGCGAGGAGGGCGGCGCGCGCAGACCACAATTCCAGCCGGGCGACGGCGCACCACAGCACTACAGGGAGCGGGGTGGCCGCAAGGGGTTCAACAGGCACCACCAACAGCAGCAGCAGCAGTTCCAGCAGATGCACCACCTTCAACACCAGCAGCAGCAGATGCATCAACAGCAGATGCAGCACCACCACCTTCAACACCAACAGCAGCAACAGCAGCAGCAGCTCGGGCAAATGCCCAACTACTACGCCGCCGCGAGCAACCCCAACTACTACAGCTACTACCAGCAGCTGCTCAACGGGATGGGCGTGCGGCCGGGCGACTGGCTCTGCGCCTCCTGCAACGAACTCAACTTTGCCTCGCGCCGGGTACTATTTATTCCTTATTCCTTATTCTTTATTTATTTATTTATTTATCTTCTCTTTGAATTATGGACTAATTAATTCTTTATTTATTCGCGCAGGTGTGTCGGAAGTGCAACTTCAACCCGTCCCTCTACTTCGCCCAGTTCCCGGTACACCACAGGGCGCACGACTGGCGGTGTCCCACGTGCGCCGACATCAACTTCGGGTCGCGCACGGTCTGCCGCAAGTGCGGCACCGCGCAGCCCATGGCCTTTGCCGCCGCCGCAGCGGCCCCCACCGGTGGCGGACGCGGCAAACCCTCGGGCCGAGGTCCGCTCCCCCACCACCGCCACCCACCACCACACCATCATCGCCCCCTCACCCCTCCATCTCACCCAATCGATGTCGATAGGTTATGGCGGCAGGGGGATGCGAGGGGGGAGGGGAAGAGGCGGAGCCCACTTCGGCCAGGGCGGCGACGGCGGCGGAGGAGGTGGAGGCGGCGGGGTGGCGCCGTCGAGCTTCCGGCCAGGGGACTGGTTCTGCGACCAGTGCAAGGACCACAACTTTGCGTCGAGGAAGGTGTGCAGGAAGTGCGGCGCCGAGCGAGGGGACGACGTGATCGCGATGACGGGCGAGGAGGGCGGCGTGGTGCTCGGAGTGGACGGCGGCATGGGCGACCCCGCGGCCCACGTGGTGGTGGGCGGCGGCATGGTCATGGGCGCGCCCCCGACGACGTCCGACGTCGACGGCTCGCTCGAGGCCGAGCAGCGGGGCGTCTACGGCTGGTAAAACGTGGAAACGAGAGCTCTGTAGAGAGAGAAATGGAGAGAATGGAGCGAGAAAAGAGAAGAGAGTGAGAGTGATTGAGAAAGAGAGGAGGCGAAGAGGAGGTGCAGGTTGTTAATGAATAGAGCGATAGAGGTTCGGAAGGATGGAGAGCGAGAGATCGGTGGAGCCAGCTGAAGGCGATGCCAAGACAAACGTGAAGAGGGCTCTGTGGGACGATGATGGTGGTTGGATTATTGGTGAACAGCTGTTTCACCAACAAGCGAAGGGATTAAAATATTTGCAACCAACCAACGCGGTAGTTACACCGCGTACTAACCCGAGAGGAGGTTGGTGGGGTCGTTGAGCTGCTGCCTCGTTACCAGCTCAGCCACTTTTCGCAGCTCCAGTAGGCTCGCCGACGCCAGCGCCCTGCCGAATTGGGTCGTGTGGATAACGTCAGCAAGTGAGAGTGGCACAGCGAAGAGGAAGAAACAAGGCGTGGAGTGAAACCTGGAGTGCTCGTCGGGGTCGTCGCGGTAGACGGACACGAGCCAGGCCTGCACCTCGTTGAAGTCCTCCAGGAAGTCCGATACGAGAAGGCTCACCGGTACCAGGGCGATGGTGCGCGCCGCGGCCAGAAGGGCGGCCCGCCGCACGTTCGCCTCGCGATGGTACCGCACCGCCCACACAAAGTCCACCAACGCACGCACCTGCCGATCGTCAAGTGATTAGCGAGGAACGATTCGATCGACGGAAGAAGAAGGAGCACAGGGAAGAGTTACCATCCGGTAGAGTGCGGAGGGCGGGGCAGCACTACCCATGCACTCGATGAATACGGAGAGTGCGTGTAGGAGCTTGCTGAGCACGATGCTGTCCTCCCCCAGCAGATTGAACGTGTTGTCGACGCTGTGAAGCCAAAGTTGGAACCAAACAAAAAGTAAAGTGTGAACACCTTGCATCTCTACATTGTGTTGTGCGCTGTCGGTTACCTGTCGTAGCCACGCATGAGGGGATAGAAGAAGAGCCCGTGGACATCCACGAAACGATTGGCCTTGCCTGGAAGTAGCAGAATGAGTTGGCCCAATGGGGGGGGGATCACAGCAAGCAATGTGTTTGTGAAAGGCCTGACACGCACCTGATTGAGCGAAGGCTGGACCCTTGCGGCCTCCCGTTCTCCGGGTCTCCTTGCCCAGGGGCTTTGGATGTTTGACCACCATTGTCGATGACTCGGCCGTATCGTTCGTCGAATCGTGGCTGGGCAGATAAGGCAATCGCTGGTCCTCATCGAAGGTGGATCTGAATTGGCATCAACGACAACGAGTGAGTGCTTGGGCGCCCGAGATCCAACGATAGGTCAAGAGCTGAGGGGGGGAGGGGCAATACCTTCGGCTGTCCCGGTCAATGTACAGTGACGCGAAGCGCGCGGGGGAGAGTCCGCTGAGCAGGTTGATGTCCTTGGTCTCGCGGAGGAGGGGCTGTCCCTGCGCTGCGAGCAAGCTAAGCTGAGTCTTTCGCTTCTTCCGAGGAGAGAGAGCAGAGAGAGAGAGAGAGAGCAGTCACGGGTACCCGCAGGCGCCTCGATGGCCTTCGCGTGCGGATGGGAGCTGGACGGAGGGAACATCGGCTCCAAGGAAGAGTCGGCCAGCTCCTTGGCAGCCTCCGCCATGACCACCAACATGTCGACTCTGAACAGAAGAGGAACATAAGATCGATACACTATATACCACACAAACGGTGCCTCCCTGGGGAGCTCAAGGCACTGAGGGCATACCGCTGCTGTATGGAGTAGTTCTGAGCGTAAAACTGGTCGGTGAGGTACTTGACCAACTTCGGGGTTTCCTCGTCGCTGGCCAGCAGAGCGATCATCGCCTGGAGCCAACGAACCAAACGTACATCCCTTAGCCGTCAGTTGTATACTCTGGTGTGCCACTTGTGCTCGCCCTAAAAGGCATGAATCGCCGCAGATACGGACCTTGAATCGCATCTCACCGAAGCCCTCGAGTTCGTACTGGTTGAACAGGTGAAGCAGAGTGCGCATCAGTTCGAGAGAGATGTCATGAAGGTCGCCTTGATGCATATTTACCAGAGAGTGGAGCTGCGTGAGAGGACTATTTCGCTGCACTGAAGGGGGAAGGCAATCAAGTTACCTCTGGCGTCTGCGCGGATCAGGCCTTCGGCTGCCTTGATCGCACCCTCCAAGCGATCCGGCTCGTCCTTGGCACGGAGCCCTGAACAAGTTTGTTTGTTTCGATAGACAGGAGATGAGAATAGCCGAACGCGGGCGAGCCGCAGGGAGCGGGGACTTACCAGCTAGCACGTCTCGGAGGTAGACTGGGATCTTGACCTGGCTCAAGTCGCTCTCGTCGTCTTCGAGATCGTAAGCCTCCAGCTCATCCTCGCTACTACCACCGGTGTCGCTCCCTTCGAGCTGCAGATCTTCATCACCAACCACGTCGTCCTCGGGGGCCTCTTCCTCATTTGCGAGAAACAGAGCGTCGGGATCATCATCGACCTGCGGCAAGCGAGAGCGCCAGTATTGAGAATCAGCGGATTGCTAGAGGTGACGGGATGGTATGACGTGCACCTGCTTCTTCCTTCTTCGCCGCTTTTTCCGTTCTGTGGGAGGAGTAACGTCCTCGGCCGGCGCAGTGGATGCGCGCTCGATCGCGTCAGCTGCGCCTTCATTGGCGTGCACCCCTTCTTCGTCTTCGTCGTCGGACAAGGGCTGGTACTCGAACTCCAGCGGCTTCTCGGCCTCCGGATCGAGAATCCTCGAGAACTGCTCGGCCACGATCATGCCGAAACTAATAGCGTGAAGGGACTGTGAGCGAGCAACGAACCACGTAGCCTGTGTAGATTTAGATGTAGATGAATATGAACATGTATATCTACCTTCGCGTGCGACCAACAGGATAGGCGATGTAGTTTTGAACGCCACTAACCAACCCGATCAGCAGACCGTCTGTGCGGCACGCGAACCCGTATCGTGTCGTGTTATCGCTCAGTTGACGCGGACGGAGTGGTATAGAGAGCGAGAGGAGGGCGAAGAGTACCAGTGCTGGTCAAATCCTCCTTGGCCAAGTAGCTCAGGCCGAAGGTGATGGCCTTGAAGAGATACCGATGTTGCTCGTACGACGAATGCCGAATGAAGCTCTTCTCGCCCCAGACGCCGACCACCTTTACCAGCGCATTGAGCAGGGGTTGCATGCCTCTGTTGTGCAGGTCAGCACAGGTGCCCTCGTCCATGCCATCAGCACCTGTGGCCTTTTCCTTCCCTTTATCGGTTGGTGGCATAGGGCCGAGTCGGGCGATGAAGTCGAGCAACACGCGAAGAACGGAGGCCGGGTAGACTTTCACAAGCAGCAGCTTGTGCAGGAATAGGAACGAGAGCGCGTTGTCGTTCCGCTTTCCGCTTGCATGCTCGCCCCTCGAGTCGGCATGCGAGACGGTCTCTCCGAAGAGCTCGAGTAGCACCTGGGAGCGTAGCTGGTAGAGCGGAGGCGGGGAATGCTGCGCTCCCGAGGCTTTTTCCTGCGTACCCTGCGTCACGGCGAGTAGAGTGGTGGCGACGAAGTCGGACGAGAACTGTTTTGTGCTGTCGAGTTGCAGGAGGAGAGCGTGGACAAAGCCTTCCGCGGCATTCTGAGGGACGGCGCGAACGATGGCCACAAATCGTGATCTCCATTCACTAGTGATCACACGCGCGCTGGAGTTAGACCCTGCATAAACGAATGGTACGTGAGCGTCATGTACCGATCGTGAATGTGGGCTAGGATGAGCGGGAGGAGAGCTTCCATCATTGCTGTTCCTCGCCCGACAAGACTCAGCTTACCGTAGAGCTGCCCGATCTGGGCCAGCAAGGCTCTTTCGCTTACGTGCTGGCACACACAACGAACCATGTTGGCTTCATTGGCACACAAAGAGAAGCAGGAAAACAGTAGTTGGTGGTCACGTGTCTTACCTTAAGCTGGAGAGCATTCAGCGCTTGTGTGGTGACGAGCCTCGTGAATTGCCTACGGGTGGCGAGTTTCGTCGTTAGTGTCAGTAAGCGTGCAGTAGGTTCGAGTTCAAGAGTTGAGGGCGGCTGTACTGTTCACGGAGCGCATGAGGAATCTCACTAGTGGCGTCTCGGTAGACTGCAGTGATGCGATCGGGCAGCGAGCAGAGTAGACCCAGCACCCGCACCCACAGGCTCTCTTGACCCGCATGTGGCCTGTTAAAGGAACAGTCCCATACGCGTAGGTTAGCTGATGGCTTGAGAGTTGTTGCAGTCTGTTCTCAAGTACCCTTCGTGGCGTGCAAAGTGCGCGAACAAGCGGGAGAGGCCTCCATCGGTGGTGATCATTGTCCCCAGCAGCCCGGCTACGGTCTTGACGATAAAGTCCTTCTCGTCTTTGTTCGCCCCTTGTTCGCTCTCCTCCACAGCTTCTTCTGCCGCGAGCGGCGTCGGCCGGTGGCGTACCTCCAGTACGATGGGGTTCTTGGCACGCAGCCCTTCGTTCCAGCTCGACTGTGCGCCTCCCGTCCGCGCTGCATCGCCCGAGCGGCCGAATTCGATAAGTGCCTGGGCCAGAGCCAGGAAGGCGTCCACCTGCGGCACCTCGGGCGAGGTGAAGAAGGAATCGAAGAAGCGAGCTCGCTCTTCCCGCGAGAAGCACAGAACCCAGTTGGGCAACACCGACTTCAGCAGAAAGTGGGTCCAGTTGGCGTACTGCTCGGTGAAGAATGCGTGGTTGGCTTCGTCCGGCAAAGCAGTACTCGGCGATCGCTGGTCGCGACCAAAGATTCTCTCCGAAATCCGCGTCAGCACCTCCCGCACTTCGTCGGGGGAGCGTGCAGCCGCTATGCGCGCCTTGGCGTCCGCCACCAGGTCCCTCATCTGCCTAAATGCGGTCTGCATCTTGTTGCATTGATCAGCTTGGTCTACTCGGACTGTGCTCAAATGCTGCAAGCAGCGTTCTTGTCGACACAAAAAAGGAAGATAAAGAGGGTGCATCACTGCTACTCGCCCTGCTGGTGGTACTTGTTGTCCTCGGAAGAAGACCCCTGGAATTGCTCCCAGTCATAGTAGTCCAGTGGTGCGTGAGACTGCTGCAGTTGATGTTGGTCGAAGAGGTGGTGCTGTTGCTGCTGATGGCCGCCGTAGAAGTGCTGTTCGCCACTCGACTGCTGCGATGGCGGACCCGAAGGGAGTGGTGGCCCGCTTCGCGACGTGGGGAGGGCGAGTGTGGGCGAGAGCGAAGGCGGCGTCGGGACCGAGGGCATGCTGCCGTCGCCAACGTGATCGCCGCCGGCCTCCATGAAGTGCTGGTAGCGATGGGGGTTGGTGGGTAGCGGGTTTGAGTGGTAGAGCCGGCCCCCAGCCCGCCTGCCGCCTACGCCGAAACCTCCCGCGGGATCCAGCTGATCCTCCTCGCCCGCGGGACCCAGCAGGCTGTCGCCGGTGCTGAACAGCAGCGGCGGCGACGAGCGGTGCTGCGGATGCTGCGCGTAGTCCTGGGGCCGCACTCGCTGGGGCGCGGGCGCGATCGGAGCGTGCATCGGCTGCGGCGGCACACCCTGCGGAGGCGAGTAGGGCGGAGGCAGGAAGCCGGGCGCGGGCGGGAGCGAGTAGGTGGAGAGATGAGACGGCTGCTGATGCTGCTGCTGCTGCGACAGCGGTGGTGGAGGTGGGGTGTAGCGACCGGCGGCGGGCATCGACGCGGAGGAACCGGAGGAGGCCGACCGCGAGAACCTAGACCGCGAGGGATTGTAGGACGAGTGCGAGTAGGAAGACTCGCCGGCGAAGCTAGAGAGGCTCGGGCTGGAGTGAGAGCGAGGCATGGAGGAGGAAGGCGGCGGCGCTTGCTGCGGCTGCTGCTGAGGTGGTGGAGGGATGAAGAGGTGGGTGGGGTGGGCCTCCTCCATCACCTCCTCCTGGTAGCAGGTCGGGCACGGGTGGTGCTGCCCGAACTCGGTCGGGTGATGATGGTGGTGATGTTGGCCGTAGTAATGAGGAGGAGGAGGAGGAGGGTAGTGAGAAGAAGGAGAAGGATAGTAAGACGACGGCGGAGCTGGCGCCTGATGAGAGTAGTGAGGCTGGGTGGTGTC